TAGATCATTTTTATATATAGATAATGATATATAAAATAAAAAATAAATAACATTAGTCGTTTAAAGAATATAAATGTATTAAAAACTTATTAAACAGTTCTTTTAAAAGAATTGCATAACGCGAGAGTGATCGATCGACGGATACAAGCAGAATCGAAGTTTCACTGCATCATGCATGGCATATGATGCATCGAGGGTAACAATGACGAACGGGATCTGATATTCCCAAGTCACCATTATGGCCGCTAAAGGCGGCTAAACGAAACGAGGAAGGAACACATTCGCAACGCGGCGGTACGCTTCAAAGCCGTTGCTTTAGCGATTCTAGATCGCAGATCGCCGCGACCACGACAAGGAACGAGTGATCTTTTCAAAGTAACGATTTCTATTGAAGAACGATGCGTTCGACCATCATTCTTTCTCAAATACTCGACACTTCCGCGTTCGACGCCTCCGTTCTTTCGTTATTGTACCGCATTTCCTCGGTTCTTTATTGAAATCGGACTGTAACACGAGATTCACGATTCCGTCGTCAGTCGATCCGCTCAATGGCAGAAAACGACACAACAGAGTTGTGTCCGACTAGATTATCCCGACAGCGAATAAGCTTGACTATGGAAATTTTCACGCTACGTTACGGGCACATTTTTAATCAACGAAATACCTAAAACCTGGGCGTTTCCATCGAAATAATATGCCGAAGATGAAAATGTTCTGCGTTAATTCTGAAGAGAAATTTCAAGCGATCTTTATTGACAAGGAAGTCGCACCTCAAATGTTGCGTCGAAATCATCGGAATTTACACGGTAACGAATTTCTATTATTATATACGGGGCATTTTCGGGCGTAGCATCTGCCGAGCGTCGCAAAGCTCTACAATCATACCTGTTTTGAAAACAACGACGTGCCCATTTTGTGATCCGATCAGATAGCATTGTACGGTCCCGGATGATTGTAGTCATTACCGTGCTCGCCTGCGTATTAGAATTTGTGTTCTGGTAGGAGGCGAAATTATTCCCGCTTCGAATCCGGTCGCTTTCGGGCACGGCGTATACACGCGCGTGGGCAACTCACGCGTTCGCCTATCTGAAGAAAAATAAAAATATCTAACGATCGAAAATGAAAAGGTTGTTAGTAATGCCAGCGATCGATATTAAAAACATCGTCGATACTACGGTATTGCTTTTCTATTATCTTTAGAGCAACACTAATATTCAACTAACAATTCCTTTTAATAGAACAAATATACGGTAAATTAATAATTTTTATTCAACTAAGCCGCGTATATTCAAAAGTATATTTATCAAAGAACATCCAAAACAAAATTCCAAAGAACGATCCGGAAGTCGGTAGAAAGCGAAACGCGCTTTCTCTTGCTTCGGTTTCACCGTCTTCCTGTCACTTGAGACTCTTTTACTCTCGCATTCCGAAGAGTTCCACCCTTCGCAGCACGCTAATAGGAGATCCTATATCTAAAGAGTAGTAGATTCCATCATTTTCTCGTCATTTTTCTCGTGTCGCGAAGCTCGTGAAAGACAAAGATCTCGTATGGTAAATGCGAGGAGCGCAAAGTTACATCACGTATAACACACCGGGTGTCTTATTTTCTATTGTATTTCGCGCGCGCAAACACGCGTACGACGCGTGTATTCGCGAGTGGTGCATGGGGCGCGTGCACAGTACAGAGAGGCAGCTGCGACACCCTCACGCCCACACGACACACCCCCTAGAAATTCATGTCGACTGGCACGCGCGTTGTTGAATTCTTTCTAATACCCCTGTAATTATATTCTACGTGAGATTCGTTCCCTCGTATGTTCGGAACACAATAAGGACATATCAATCTCCAATCGATTTTGTGCAGAGGAAAAATCTGGAAGCGACATAAACTACATACATATATATCGCGAATGTAGAACAACTATCTCTGTAAAAATTATCGAGTAATTGTTACAGAGATATTAAAGTTTCTTCCAGTTTTTAATTTTGATTGTTATATATTAATAATAAAAGACTAAAAGACATATATTGCATGGATCGTTATAATTTGACAGAACGCCGAAATTTCGCGCCATATCGCTATTCGGCGAACATCGACGGAGCTTATCGCGACCGCAGGCCGTGCATATACAATATAAAAGCCACTTAGATTATGCATGGGTGGGGATTCCCCAGAGTCCGCCTTTCCAACGAACAACCACCACCGCCGACGCTACTAGCAATACCGGCACACCATCGTCGACACTGCCGCCTCCATCATCGCCGCGGTCGTCGCTGCAGCGGCCACCCCCGGGGGCAGTAATCTCGCATGGAGATCCGACTTAAACGATAGGCCCCCATTTCGAGCGCCGCCCTCTTACGCGAGACTCTTAATTTCCAAGGCAGAACGAGCGTGGCGCGGTTTCCACGAAAATACTTTGCGAGGAGGTCTTCGTCGCCGTTTACGAGACGGGCCACCCGATGCCGTGTTATTACAAGCGGCTCGGATATTTCCATATCGCGCGACTAGACGTGGTTTAATACCGCAGTCGATGGTACCGCTTACCAACCCCCTGTTAGCTTCCTCGGATGGGCGCGCCGCTTCGTTGGTGAATCCTCAACCGGTAAATCCTCCCCAGCCTACGCAGCCCTCCTACTTTCCGAGCGGCATTTCTGGGAAGAGTCGTTGTCAGATTCGCGCAAAAGAGCCAAGCTCCATTTTGCCGTTTGATATATCGCTCAATCTCATAAGCATAAGCAAGCTCGTCGGAAGCGGAATCTCCTTATCCGTTGCCGTAATTCGGCGGATCTAGTTTCGTCTCGCGTGCGAACGTTCGATCGATTTGAATTACGCAAGATGCGTATCTTGGCACGCCACTCAGTCGCTTCCTCGATCATCGTTAGACTCAGACAGAGAGGTATACGCAGAACAGGCTCCGAGGGGGAGGGGGGGGAGGAAGGGAGATGAGAAGGGAAGCAAACGGATGCTGAAGGGGACAAAAAGAGCGAGCTAGGCGAGTGTGTCGAGGAAAGAAGGAGAAAGGCAGACGCGCGGCCATGATGCGACCGATATAGCCTCAAGGAATATAAAACGAGCAGAGATATCATCGCGCCGGTGAGTCGGAATAAAACTATAAACCGGAGGAAACAATTACCCTGACTGCTCGGCGGAAGATGCGGCTAATGATAAGTGGTTGGTTGCTCTCCCGGGCCTGCGAAGCATAGCTTTTGCAGCGCGTTTGGTCCCGTCTCTCTTTCAGCGCCATTTTCACCGCGCGGATAAGTAAGAGGGAAACGCAGAACCCCCGTCTCTCCCTCCTCTTCCTCGGATTTATATCAAGGATATTATTGCAATGTGACAAAATAGTGGGTTATATGAATGCAGACTATGCACATTAATGTTGCTCGATTACATTGCTATTCGTAATTTGGAACGTTGACGTTTTCATCCACGCTACTTTAATTCGATCGGAGTTACCTTGAAACTTTTCCCGTAATTGTCGATGGAATCGACCTTCGGTATACTTCAGTTGTATCGCGGAATTGCGCGCGATTGTATGAAATTGCATGATCGATTATCGCAGCGCATTCACCGACATTTTTTTCTTTTTATTTTACAATTACAATCTCCGGTACTTTCAAGATTACGGGGACAGTCTCATCAACGTTCAGCTATAGTCGTAAACTAAATATTGTATTTCCTCTCGGTTGTAGCTAGCGACATATCTAAAGAGAACCGAGATGTCGGCGGTTAAACTTAATCGACGTTGGCGAAATTGGCCTTATATCGCGCGGTGACACGTACGTAGTCCGCGAGCAAACATTCTTTTAATGGCACCGACGGTCTTTCGTAACGTTACAGCCGATTTATGCAAATTGTCGGGCGCAGCCATGTAAATTATAATCCCGGTACGATGCCGCGCGCATAGCAACACTTCGCTCCAGCTAACGCTACGTTCCAAGTAACGAATTGCATGGCGCACGATCGACTCTCTTGTGCTTCGTATTCTTTCTTTCCTTTTTATCCTTTTCCTCCTGCACGGCACACCGATTTTAATCGCGTCTTCTACGTTCGGCCGTCGAAACGACGACGATGGGGTGAAATCGTTCGAATCCGGTGAGCATGAATCACAGAACCATTTGCGTATTTCAATTTCCTTCACCGATCGCATCCGCGGGTATAAGCACGTTTCGTTTAACGTCCAAGGGTCGAGCTACCACCCCATACGGGAACTTTGCGCGCGCGCATGGCCGCGGTCGTTTTCTTTCGCGTGGTGAAGATCACAGTGTTCACAGAAGGCATCTAATTGCCAACCTCTCGCATCTCGCGCTCCCCCATAAACTTAACGACCGCCTTAACGGTTGGCCCTCCCGGTATGCTAAAGAGCGTTTCTTCGGCTATTTCGCGAAGTACCCTGTTAAAGACTTCGATGGGCCATTGCGGTCTTTCATACGCACTTTCTTCGCAAGAAAGACCGCGTCGTTCCGGACGTTTAGTCCGGAATATCTTCGCCTATAATGTTCATATAAATAAAATAACTACACTCGTAATAAGTCTTTTCATTATACAATCCAACATGACCGAAGAAAGAATGAAACAAGGAAAGTTCTAAAAAAAATTCGAATTACGCGCAAACTTACGGCCATTACGGATGGATACGAAGTACGATGGTTATTTCATAGAAATCTTCGCGGTATCGCTTTGGCGGGGTCGAGGAATTTGATTTCCTCGTCGGTTTGCATGATTCTGATTGAAGTGATTGAGAAACGCGGGGAGGGGTTCGCGAGGGAGGGAGAGTGCCGTCGACTGAGGGCCGATGATTGGTGGGACATTAGTGTAATGAGAGTCTTGAGTTAAGGGGTAAAACGTGGTAGCGGCTACCGCGCGCCGTGTATCCGCCATGATTAGAGCCTCGGTGGCGTTTTCGCCGATATCGTGAGTTCGTGAAATCGCTCCTGCAATTTTAATCCAGACTCGGAGAGTCTTCCTTCGAGTCGGTGGAAAAGGGAGAAAAAGGAACATGAAGAATATCGTACTGGAAGAGATCTCGTGGGGTTTCGTCGGAAGAAACGACAAAGTGGATGAAAAACGATACAAGGAATGTATCCCAACAACGAATCGTTGTGATGACCATTCGATAGAACGAATATCTATGCGTGTCGATGAACGCGATCACACGTCCAATCACGGTTTAATGTTGATTGATAACATACATATGGTCTGTTTTCTGTTCCTGCATTAGACTGCACTAGCATTCTCTTTCTCACTTTCAATAAATATCAAACATATTTCTCTTTTGGAACTCACTTCAAGTTCCAAAAGTATACATTAGTTCAGCCACAGAAAACAGACCTATAGTTGACTATCAAAGTGATTTTTGAATCTGTAGAATAACATGCGCTTTCTTTCTACAAATGTAAATGATATATCTCGCATCACTCCCTCTTAAAAAACTCTCACTAGATATATATATATATATATATATATATATATATATATATATATATATATATATATATATATATATATATATATATATATATATATATATATATATCACATCGCTCTCTTGAAAAACTCTCAGTAGACATCGTGCATGTGATTGCTTTGCGAATATCGGACATTTATACAATGATGGCTAGATTTGATGCAACTGACTTGCTACAGAGATGCATGCTCGGTTGCCCATTTGCAGGCGTCCATTGTTGAGCGTGTTAATGTCGACCAAACATCACCTAAACCATCACTTCACAGAATTGATTTTAGTCAGCTTGGAATTAATTCAAGCAGCACTTTGTATAACCCGCACAGCAATTAATACTGATTTTCTAAATTGCAACATTAAAATCCAAATTGCAGATTATTACAAATTTTTATTCGGACGTAAAAAGTTTATTAAACTTTATACAAGCGAATAAGTAGAGAATAATTCGCACTTCAAATTATTATTTTAATATATAGTATTTTACGTAGTATTTTAGTACATAGTATTTGTAAATTAATATCAATTTATTCGATAAAGTTTTTCTTTAATAAATTTCGAGCTGCATCGATGTGTTTTAGTACGCAATATTTTTTAATTAATATCAGCTTTAAAAGTAATAGATATTAATTGTACTCGTAAGTACAATATGCAAATTAATATGCAAATCAAAGTTTAAAGAAAACTTCATACGATCGAATAAATTTTTGATAATTTATGTTTGAATCATTTTAGTATTGCAGTCGGGAAAATTTGATATTAATAGCCACGTGGATCACAGTGTCTGCAAAGTATCGGCGGGTTGAATTAATATCAAACTGATCAAAATCAGTTCTGCGAAGTGTTGCATGTATGTAAATAAAAAATGGACCCGATGATTGCGGGGTTTGCCTTCAGCGAAATTATCCTGAATGACAATGTCTTCGTCTGTTATCCTGTATAAAATTATAAGGGCTATTGTACGGACCACTTATTCCTTAATCGAAGCTACCGATTCGAGTTGTATTTCGAATGAAATGAGGCGCGCGATGCACCGGTTTCGTTAGCACAGCAGATCGAGATCGTCTCGTTCTCGTAGGCATTACGTATTCAGTGGCCAGCGCCATTTTACCTCGACCATTTTTGCCGATCAAATCTTAATTGTTGGCTGGCGGCTGTCTAAGGAGGCGTGGCCACCCGGTTGGTTCACTTTCAGCCACGCGATGCACGAACGCACTGGTTTTCTTCCTCTTATTTCTCTTCTTCTCTTCTTCTCTTCTCCCGCTTCTTCTTACTCCCCTTGCGTATTCTTTACGATGCACCAAGGAGTGCGATGCACCGCGACATTCTCGAGTCCCCTCGCATCTGCAACCGGCGCAACGGTGTCCGTGCAACGTGTATGCTAATCGCATCCAGTTACCAGAACCGTAGGTAATTGTGGGTACCGAAGAGAGGCCTCTCACCCTTTCTCTCTCTGCTACATTCAAAATACGTGAGATCCTTGTATGAGAAATATACAAGCGTTCCATGATTTACATCAAAAGTTTGCTCTCATATTTCATTTTTACGTAAATAAACCATGAATCGAAAAATAATTTTATCCTACACTGAAAGAAAAGATTGGTTGCTGCAATAATTTAGATAGTAAAATATGGCATAGCAACCAGTTTTTGGATGTAGCAGCAAATTTTTTAGTTGCCTATCCGCAAAGTCAGTATATGATTTCAATAGACTAACGTAATTAAAAATTTGCTGCTACAATCAAAAACTGGTTGCTGCAGCCGATTAAAAATGCTATACTATCTAAATTATTGCAGCAGACTTTCAAAATTATTAATGAGCAACGAGCTTACTACTCTGAAGATAATATCATCCGCAATAGGTAATGTAATTATATAAATGTATTATTCATTGTATCGTTCTTGGAAGATATCGAAATATAAGTGTGAAAAAGATTGTAGGGAGAATACAATATATCATACTAAATAATTATATGTAATAGAGATGTCCAATTGCAATTCATGATAAACGATGATGAACATTCGATAAAATCGGTATATTACCGCAATTAATCTTAATGACATGAAGCGGTAATTATCGATTATCCTGCGACAATCTCTAGACACTACTGGTACCGCCACATAATAAATTTACTCCTACATCGCGATGTAAATGCCACCTAACTAGTACACGGACAAAGTAGCCGCCGACACTGGCGGCGCGGCGAAAGGCGGAGAATTACGCCCATGGTCTAGCCCATTGGATTCCTGAATTGCAAAGTGTACTACGCCATACGCCGCTTAATCAACGGTCGTCAATGTGTCCGCTGCAGCGGAACGGTTATAACTCTATGAGGAAGACGAACGTCGCTATGATGGAAAGTTTAATGTTATAGACGTTAAATCTTTACGTAGTTGTTAATAAGCGACATCAGTTTCTTATACAAGCGTATGTTTTACATACGAAATAATTACACAGGCCCACAGAAAAAAAAGTACCATGTGCTGGGATGGAGACCCAGCTACTCTTATGTATTTTGAATCGCTGAATACGAATCTGACATCAAAATAGGACCATCCTGGGTGAATTTTCAATCTAGAGCGAAAAAATGGATCAAAATGGGTCTGCTTTTATTGATACATTCTAAGACCATTGGCAAAAAACTTTTGATTAAACCTAGATATGTTTCTCGAGTTGAGAAATTCTTATCAGTCGTTAAGAAATACTATACTGAAGACGCTCTGAAATACTAATATGCTACTACAAAAATCATTTACAAATATCAACCCTTGATATCTCAATTGACGGACAAGGTGGTAACAAACGCCGTATCTATGTCCTCTACATCTCTTATATAACTTCTAGGTACTTGTAGATGTTTTCACCTATGTATCATTATATTTACATGACTGAAATCATGCGACAAAGTAGCTTGATTTTGCAAGTTGTTTGTTACTAAAATGACTGACATCGAAAAGGCAACATGGGTTAGCTTTATAGAAGTAGTTTGTAGACAAATTTTTAGGTATTAAGAAAAGCGAAAAAATATCGTAGTTAATATGATAGAAATTAGACTTAATCGCAAATTAGACTTAATCAAAAGTTTTTTGCCAATGATCTTAGAATATATCAATAAAAGCAGAGATTTCAAGATTTTTGATCCATTTTTTCGTTCTAGATTGAAAATTTATCCTGGATAGTCCCATTTTGATGTCAGATTCGTATTCAGCGACTCAAAATACATAAGAATAGCTGGGTCTCCACCCCAGCACATGGTACTTTTTTTTCTGTGGGCCTGTTATTTCGGGATGCATTGATTTTTGCATTTATTATTTCTGAATGAATAAACATAGTCATCATGCAAACTACTAATAAAACTACTAATACTTGTGTTAGAAACAATCCACTCAAATCCTTGTTAAAATTTTGAGTTAAATTTTGAATATATCCTGCATTTCGTTATTTACTGCGAATACTGAAAATCTATCATTCACGTTATAATATAAATTTTCAGGACTCAGTGAATAATAAAATGCAGCAAGTATTAATTCAACAAAATGTAATTGTGTCATTTGAAAATTTCACGTTAAATTGATACGTAACATTTAAAATTAAAATAATACAATTTATGAATAAACAAATATAAAAATGTTATTAAAACATAAATTCTAAGATCAACAAATAAAATGTGTTAATATAATATATATTATAAATGTTAAAATTGATGTATCATGTTAATTTAACATATTATAATGTTAATTTAAATGATAAAATATATTGTAATTGTTTACAAATTATGCGTTACATTTTTGCGTGTTAGTTTTTTATATATTATCTGCGTTATTTTTTAACATATTCATCTTGTGTAAAATTAACACAAAATTTGAGTAGATCGTTTGGACACATAAAAAGTGTTACATTAAGCACAAATTTCCCAACATTTTTTAATCCATTAGCATAGTAGATGTAAGAATATTATGTCAAAGTAAAAATAAATTTCTTAATTACGATTTACGAAACAAGATCACGCCACCGGATTGTTTGCCTATGGAGAAAGAAGGTTAGTCATTTTTAGAAGAGGCAAATGCACATCGTCTTGTAAAACACTGATTTCGACCTGCGCGCGCGTTCGCCAGATACTATCCAATTAGCGGCAAATTAATATTACGCGCGGTGTAATCAGGCTAGTACGCAGGCAGGGGCGCTGCGCACCGTTGCCAGCCTTCTCTCAGCATAATGACACGTATTACTCTGATTGGCAACAATTGGTAACAATTGACGGGCGGAACCGAGCCTCGAAGGTTCCGCTACTTTGCCCGCGTTGTTTACGACCAGAACTTCAAAACGTTACACCTTAATTGCGTGGCTACATGCTCGAAGAATTATCAAGGCTTCCTTACATCCCTACGTCATTACTTATTAGACATACAGTCAGCTCTAACATAAAACTTATAGTACAATAAGCTGTAAGTTCTTTCATTTTTAGAACTCCGTTTAACTGACGAGAGCTTAATTTTCTCACGTGGAAGTGAATAAAAATGCAAAAGATTGTAACATCCGCTTGTTAATATTTCTATTAAATTGTCGCGAGATTATATAATGCAAATCGCGTATAAAGACAGGAATATATAATAGTATTGTATTATTTAAGCTTGTTGTTGAGTAGCATATAATTAAACAAGAAATCTAGCCAATATAATAAATTATTAACTATTTTTTGGCCAGTTCTTAATCAATTTTTATTTTTCCGAGACAAAATATTAAAAAAGTTTATTTCAAATTTATCATTTTTTAATTAGGAGTAATTAAATTTGAAAAAAAAACTTTTATCAATTAATTGTAATCTTTTATTACATTATGTTGAAGTTTTGATTTTCTCAGCAATTAAGAAGAGATTGCACAAAAAATTTCATCAATTAAATACTCAAGATCAGAGTGAATTTACATCAGTTGAGAACTTTAAGTAAAAGTTTTTTACGGTACTCTTTATTCCTTTTGTTTGAAAAAAATTAAATACTTTATTAATAATATTCCCGATGTGAACATGGCGTATAGAGATATCAACTAAATGAATTCATTAAAGTTCTGAAAGATTCACTGCCTACGTCATCGAATTCTAATGTAATTCTATAAAATGGACTGCAAAGATTGTGATGCCTTATACGTCGGCCAGATCGGTAGATATTTGAAAGAGCGGATGCCGGAACATAGAAATCATATTAACAGAAACACGACTCAGTCTTCTATTGTCACGGACCATAGAATGAAGACATCCCATGATTTTTATTGCGACATTAAAATATTGGACAAAGAAAAAATCTTAAGGAAGTTCTCACGTTTGAAATATAAGACAAGTTTATAATATACATGTAATATAAAAATTAATAATATAAATAATTTCTAGAAAAAATTTCATTGACTTTTACCGTACCATTTTAAAGATATTTAATTATAAATTTATAGAATTTTACATTACAAGTTGAAAGTATAACCTTATTCTGTAGTTATTCTCTTTTAAATTGAGACATTTGCGTATAATTTAAAAATCATTATAATTATAAAGTAAATACTTAAGTTTATTTTCGTAAAATTTCATTTAAACTAACATACAGTTTACAAAAAATTTATATTCTTCAATGAAAAAAGCTGGAATATATGTCAAATAGACGATACGTATACAAATGAGCATCTTACAACTTTTATTTTGTCATTTTGAAAATATTTATAGTAACATAAAATTAACAATAGTTATATATAATAGCATAAGATACTGTTAGTAATCTTTTTATTCCATTATTTTAATTGTTTTACATATTATTATAAATAAACTGTCTATTGACTAGGGAGTAGCGCGAGAAACTTCTTAAATAAAAGACTATTGTCAAAAATGATTTACATAAAGAAACAAAAACATGGTATAAAGGACCCCGCACAAATCTTATGAAAATTGAACAAATGGAGGAATTATTGTGAAGTAAGTTGAATCTTCCGAGAATAAGGTCATATATGAGGGTGTAAAAGAAGTGAAGCGATTCATCTCAGAGAATCCTGACATTTTAATCACTAGAGCGGATAAAGGCAATACTACAGTAATTATGAATCGGGAAAGTTACAGAGAGAAAATGTATGAGATTCTCAACGATCAGACCACATATAATTTAATAAATAAAGATCCCACTAATAAAATAACATCTGAAATCGGTAACTTATTAAAAAATTGGAAAAACAAGGGGTACATCGATCTAAATTTATACAAAAAATTGTATGTATCGGACGGCGAACTTCCGAGTTCTTATAGACTGCCAAAAATTCATAAGGAAGGTCATCCTCTAAGATTGATAGTCAGCTGCATTAACAGTACTTTTTATCCACTGGCGACCTTCTTAAAAGAAATTATAGATAATAATAATAAAAAGAATTTTAGTTATGTAAAAAACAGTTTGATTTGATAAATAAACTCATGGAAAGAAAGTGCAACTTTGGGATTTTCTTTATATGTGTTATATGTGATTTTTAAGATAGCTGTGCTAGAATAAGTTTGAGCTGAAAGAATTAAGAGAGGTCTTGAGTAGGTTTTAAATGATGAAATGTAATATTTGATTATCGTGATTCAATGATCGCGCGTATTTTCAGTCGAGTGATATTATATATTTACAATATATAGTGTTTAAATATACAAGAAGAAAGGTAATCGATAAAAATTTTAGTATTATATCATTCGACGTGGTCTCCATGTACACGAATATTCCGACCGATTTAGTATTAGAAAGCATTGAACGTAGGTGGAACTTGATTGAAAATAAGACTTCGATTCCTGTACATGAGTTTATTAAAGCAATTATGATTATAATTAACTCTACATTTTTTAAATTCGACAAAAAAATATTTAGACAGATTTTTGGCATGCCAATGGGCTCTCCTTTGTTCCCTATATTAGCGAACATAGTTCTACAAGACTTAGAACAAGAAATACTATATATTACTGCTAATAATATTATCTTGTCTTTTTATTTCCGTTATGTGGATGACATTGTGTTAGCGGTGCATAAATACAAGGAGTTCTGGAAATTGTTTAACTCATATCATGAAAGGCTTAGATTTACTGTTGACTTTGGCGATGAAAACGGCATAAATTTTTTAGACGTAAAATTAATGAAACAAGAAAGAAGAATCATCTTCGATATTTACAAAAAACCTACTAATTCTGGGACATTTAAACTATTTTTCGAATCATCCGTTAGTACATAAAAGGGGCGTAATCATCGGGCAATTAGATAGAATTTTGCTTTTATCCCATCCAAAATTTCATGAAAAAAACATCTCTGATTTAATTCACACTCTTTTAATGAATGGTTATTCTCTTAAATTCATATTTTCAACAATAAAAAATAGAATAAAAACCTTGGAAAGTACAACTAATTTAGATCAAAATCGTGAGGAAAATAATAACGAATGTGATTCTAATGTTAATTCAAAGAAAAAGTTTTTCACGATACCATATTTAAGCAAAGTATCTGAAAAATTCAAAAAACTCACATATTCATGGCTTTAATATAGCTTATAAACCTATGAATATATTTATAAAAATTGGAAAAGATCTTTTGCTTAAGGATGACCATCGTGGAGTAGTCTACAAAATTAATTGTTTAAATTGTGAATCTTCTTATGTTGGCCAAACAAAAAGGAAATTAAAAACTCATATAAAAGAACATAAGGCTGACATAAGAAAATCCGAGATGTTAGTGGTTTCACGTCAGTTGAATGAGATGAATTGGATTGGGATAACATAAGAATTTTAGACATAGAACATTAATGAAAAGAAGAATTTCTGAAATGATATACATAAAAGGTATATACAAATAAGTGGTATCAATAAGCAAAGTGACACTGAAGGTTTGCCTGATGTTTATCTGCCTCTTCTTAAGAAGATCTCTCTCACACTTAATAAATAATTCTAGAACTTTCTAAACTTTTGACTCATATATATAAATAGTAGTAAAATATATGATATGACAAATAACAACACACAATGTCACGACAAATTTCCATCCGTGTAAAGGATATACTTGAGATTCATCATTATATTTTTTTGCTGTAAAACAGGTAACGATTCTATTCTTACATATTTCGATTAGAAGATATTAATGATACGCAAATTTGTTAAATTAGAATCTGGAAATTCTCGTTCTACACTTTTCGTGATATGACAATTGGCGGTGTAACATTATTGTACGAAGCATCTTCGTATGAAAGAATACGTTTGTATAATTATATCATACGGTTGAATTTAATCAGTCAGCTATATGTAACTCTGTGTTTTAAGAATATTGTGAATTTACTGAGGATGGCCAGATTGTAGCCGAAACGTCTAATGTTTTAATAGTTCAATTAAATAAAAATTTGTTCAATAATAAATAAAAATAGACTATTATTATAGATTATTAAGAAACATCGTACGTATCAATACAATCACCAGACCAATATCTACGGCGGATCAAAAGGAAATCGAACAGTTTAATGCTTTTAAAAACTTTTGGTGGGATATGAACAATCCATTAGGAGGCCTTCAATTATACAATTCATTCAGAATACAATTTTTGATAGATGGATTGATAAACGCTGGATTCAAAATACAAAACTCAGATTTTCCATTAGAAAAAATAAAAATTGTGGATATTGGCTGTGGTGGAGGTATATTGGCTGAGAGTTTAGCTAGAATAGAAGCGCAAGTAACTGGAATAGACGCAGCCGAACAATTAATAAAAGTTGCTAAAAATCATATAAAATTGAATCGCGATATATCAGAAAAAGTGAATTACATTTATACAACCGTAGAATATTTTGCTAATAAGGAGAGCGAAAATAGCACATATGATACTGTTGTAACTTCTGAAGTTTTGGAGCACAATCAGACCCACAACTATTTTTAAAGATACAATATTATATAAAAAATTTATTAAATATAAATACTACATAAAAATCAAATGTTTCCCAAATATTCTGTACAGGAATGTGTGAGAATTGTGAAACCTGGAAAGTCGATTTTTCTAACGACGGTAAACAGAACTTTAACATCTTGGTTGTCTATTGTAGCATCCGAATACATTTTCGGATCTATACCTTGTGGTATTCATACATGGAATAAATTTATTACTCCACATGAAGTTCAATGTATATTAAAAAACTGTACGTTTGATTCTTGTTAATTGTAAGAAAAAAATATTAAAAAACAATTTGTTGAATATCTATATACTTATATATCTAACGATCTATATACTTATATATCTGATATACTTATAAATCGGTACTAATTACAAATATTTCTTAATTCTTTCCGTTTTTCTACAGATGGTTGTGAAATAAGATCGATTCGTGGCACGAAATATAATCCAATGACAAATAAATGGTCTTGGTCATCAACTCTATCTACTTTTTATTTACTACATGCAATCAAACAAAAAGAAACTGACATATAGATTTTTGAAAAACAATTTGCATTCATAAATATAAAATATTATTTTAATATTAAACAAAAATATAAGTTAAAATGTCTTTATACAAATTTCACAGCATATAAAATTACATTTTCGATACAAAATCTTTGGTTCTTTTGATAATTTTGTAACTAATTATTCCATAATATTTTATACATTTTATTTCTCTACGTTGATAAATTTTCTTATTCATAAATAATACTTCTTAAATATTTTATATATACACACGATTATTTAAACAACTTGTTTTATGTTATTTGATATATCCTGAACATAGAAATATATACATTAATCAATACTATTATTAACTGTGCAGAAGTGACTTATCTATGTTTTATTTTCCTTCCTTTTCTTTGACAAAATACTGAAAAGAGCAGCACATGTACGGAAACTTATGTAAACGCATCTCTATTGTAAATTACCTAAATACTTTACAACGAATCATCAGCACTATTGTATACTCTGTTAATAACAACTTTATATAACTATCAAGATAATTTTATGAATACTGACGTTAGTATTATAAATATCTATAGTGTTATAAATATTAGTTGATACTATATTGCTGGAAAAATTGTTCAATGCATGATGTTTTTTAGGCAGATTATTTTCGTAATCGTGACTCACGCACTGTACAAATAGGATAAACTAAATCTGAATCAGTAGATAATCATTGATATCAGTGCCAAGTATGCCACTGGTAATTAGTGAAAATACGAATTAGTTAAATACGAGATCTCTAATCTAGCTAATTTTTATTATATGATCTAACTAATCTTGTTTTAGTGCTTAAATTCAATGAATACGATATTGGAAGATTGAAATTAACGTGCAAATGGCAGTATTTTAGTTATATAATACTCAAACATTCTTCCTTTTTTAGTTGAACTTCACTGATTATTAGTGCTAAATACGCCACTAGATAATTAGTGACTATCCATTGATTCAGATTTAGAGAATATAAAGCGTATATATCTAATCTTTATCATGTCTCTCATATTTATCTACATAAAAATTTTTTAATTTAATAATTTTGTAGTCATAAACATATAATGACGTGATGCACTGCTAACATTATTTTTTACATTTGTATAAAAAAATTATATTTTTATACTTCATATCTCTATCTATCTTATATTTCTATGCTCTAAATTTATCGGAAAATTAAAAGTTTATTCTAATTTACTTTTTATTTGTTTGGCAATAAAAAACCTATCTCTGAAAGATGAGTAATTATTGTGAAGAATTACACTTTCATGTATTATTTATACGTAACAGTGTAATATATCATGTACATCTTTCTTTTTTCATTTTCAAATACGTTATAAGTTAGATTTGAATGTGTTAAACCCAAGAGAAAATAATTGAATTGCAATTTATTGTTTTTGAAATTCGTTCTTCACAGCGATAACTCCTACAAGATCTCCATTAAATAAAATCGTTTATATATTTATTATAGAGTAGAGCACGCACAGGTATCGTCTCTCTATTTCCCATACCCTGTTATCCGAACGCGCATTTACGATCCGTCTTCCACATTTCTTCTAGCAATAAAAGCATTAAGTATACTTGCCAGCACTCCGACGAAGTATACCTCTTGCAAAATGTTACGGTCTACTACAGTTCGGCCGCGAGTAAATAGAAGCCGCGAAAGGTGTGTGATACCTATTTGTACAGGAGCTCAATGTTCTTTCTTTAGTATAGTGAGCTTGCTCGTTACACCTCAACGAACTGGCTTACTTTTTGCCTTAATTGAGATACTCGTCAGGGAAATTATTAAGTCTTGTGCTACGCATTTGTCTAGCGGGAGAGAGTGCATCCTCTGGATGATAATAATGTTCCAATAACGTACCATTATATTCAGAACCCTAACAATGTTTCGTGCAGCTAAAATTAGTACATACATTTTCAATTAATTAGATAATTTCTCAAGCAATTTCAACTAAGTATGTTTATTATTCAACCAATATATAATATATGTATACAAGTGTCGAAAGCTAGTAACGAAAATTAACTTGCACATATATTTAAAATTACATTCGCGTATTCATGTTTCTAAGCACTTTTTCAGAAAATACACGACTCATTGACTGTCAATCAAATATACTCGCCTTCAATTGCATATCATTTTGCCTTGCGTATCGCACAGACTACCAATACCGGACTCCACTGACGTAAGAGATTATTTCACTTATTTTATTACATATTGTATTTTTAATCTTAGCTACATAATGCATATAATCACGAAGCCTATTACTCCGCGAGTGCGGGCGAATGGAAAGAGTATTCATCCCGCTTCGCATCGTTCCGGCTCTTGGCATCGTATTTTAACGATATCGTAATTTGGAGAACCGCAAACCCCCTGACGTCACTGGTGCATCGAAGCATCTTGTTGGCGCGCAATCCTTCCACCCTCCTTTCACCCTGTGGACCGATAATCTCGGTCAAAAGGATATTAGCGAGTAACGAATTATAGGAATTTCGGCAAATTAGATATTGAACGAATTGAAGGATTGCGTTACTAATTCCACTGGGACGCCGATCGTTACGCCAAGATTTATTCAATCGCTGTCACGGGGCAGAATCTCGGGGAAGACTTTGCATCTTTGCAGACACAACGTAAAATTTGTATCTACACGTGAAAGCGTACATGTTTTCAGCAAAAATTATAACATCCAATGGAATGCTTCCAACGCGCTTTGATGAAGTTTCGCTCGTAAAACACAGGAAAGTGTGTTTGAACTTGTTTGAAGAAAAACACTTTTCGTATTTACGATGAGAGCATAAGTAATCATCATCCGCGTTTAAGTCGTCGTTACGAATAGTCGTGTCCTGCCCTTTCCTTGTCCGATCTCACAGCACGGCGCCGGCGATCCAGCCGTCGCGGCTACACACGTGGCCTTCTATTTTGCTCCATGCCAATCTTAATATTATCCTTCGAATTATGGCCCTAATGCTATCCACGATACGCGTTCCCACTACACGTACGAACCATCGGCTCTAATAATCGAGCACGAAATTCAGAGCGGTCTCTCCTCCGCCGGACGTCGAACTAGCATTAGGATACCATCTGGATTATTTCGCAACTTTTGGCAAACGGCGTGATTATTCGTCATTTTCATTATATTTACGCAACGAGCGTTTCATTTTTATTATCCCGGTACACTCCTCGGTATAAGATACGTGTATTCAAAATAAATAATAAATAAAACCGATCTCTCAGCTTTCACAGCGAGAGAGTCACGCCAACGCAAACGTCCCGCTTCTTTCAACAGGCCAATGGCTCGTAATTATTCGCCTAAGTTCACGTAAATTTCGCATTGAACATGCTACATGCGGATATTTCGCAACGTCACGGACGGGTGACTCCGCCATCCGTCGCGAACACGAGACATTGTCACGAGATCTCACCATCGTAAATCTTCGGCGCTATATCGACGTGGTGGAGTGACGCGAATGATATTCGCCCGTCGGCTAGAATGCATTCATATATCGCGGCACGTATCGTGTCGCTCGTAGCCTGTCCTGGCAGGAAGCGGCTGGCTATACACGGCATAACTTGTAGCCGTGTCGTGATAGCGACACTTCATAAACATGGACTGGCGTCATGTCGCGGTGGTACCGACGCGAAGCACTTTACATCGTCGATCGTTATCCGTCCGCGCCGATGGACATCGACATTGGACGCCCGTTGCGTTTACGACCCGCTTGACGTGAATAGACATAGACCGAGAAACTACGACTCTTCATTCAAGAGTTTAACGAAACTTCATTTTGCTAACATATTTAAATTTAATTTTTTCATTTGCATATATTTGTATATATAATATTTGAATAATAAAAGCAGTAAATTATTACCTTGATTATTTATAAAATAGTCTTATTTTATCATAATTAAATATGATTTATGATACATAGGTCACATATAATTAAAGGGTACATATACTCTTCAATATTCATTATACTCTTCAATATTTAGTTGAGTAACGTAACGAGGATACAAAAGTATTTCTGTTAATATATCCTTCAAAGGACATGAGAATATAATATTACAAAACATGCGCAAATATTATATGAATTCACTCAGTCTAATCCGAAAAAAATATTGTAAATAATACGAATTAATTGATATGTAATAATAGTAATGGAGATTTTGCAATTCATATAAAATTAATCGCAATTCAAATTATAAATTTCATTATCGTGCATTGTATAATGCAAAAATTTTTAAGTACTAGCGAGCGAATCATTAGAACGATATAATTCAAATTTCATTTAATTACAAAAAGCAAAAAACATGATGAATCGACACAAAAAATCAATTGAAGTTCACATGTTCAGTTCCAATTAAATAATTTAAATGAACTTTACTGTAACTCTTTATATGATTTAATATTGATTTTTTTTTTATTAATCTTATAAAAATTGCATCTTCTAGACTGTATAATAACGTTAAGTAATTACATAGCGTAAATATATTATAATAAATAAATTCACTCACCAATTCCGCCAATGTTGATATGATCCATACTGCAGGACGATCTTATGCCAGGAGAAATCCTACAATACAAAACATACAATACAAAATAATTTGATAATCTTACATTCACATGGAAATTGCTAAAATTCGATTTAATTTTGAATATCTCGCGTATATTTTAATCAGGATCGGATAGTAACTAGTTAATAAGTTAAAAGTTAAATAAAAATGACAAAGTTAATATCTTTATAATTAAATTCAGTTAATTTTAAATGAATTGATTATTAACTTAACTCAGTTGCTTTTAAACTTTAATTTATTAATTTTTCCTTTTTAAATTAAAATTTTTTTATCTCTCTAAAAATGCCAATATTAATTTCCAAAAATCTTAAACATTACAGAATTAGTTTTAAAAAAACTCAATGAGTAATAGACACGACAGTTATAATATCCAAAGATAAATGTGGGTTGGATCTGCATTAAGGAATGCTTCTATTGTGTCAAGCCTTATTTTACGTTAATGAGCGATAAAAAAAAAGCGATAAAACTAATACTTTTTATTTACATATAATTTTCAAAAAACCTGCAGGCATGATCAACACAAAGAGAAGTACAAAATTACTTACGTTTTTAAAAATTATAATATTTTATTTTTCATTTATAATACAAATATCAAAATATGAAAATACACATTCTGAGGAAAATAGTGAGACTCTGAATTAACTTACCCAATCTTAATTTTAATACATTCGCATTTAATACATTACACAAGTTTCTACACTGAGAGAAAAATGTTTTGTATTTATAACTATAATTACATGTTACTATAATTATGATTATTACTGTTATAATAATAATAATAATAATAGTAATTATGTATATAGTTTTAGCAACAAATGTATGTATTGTAGTTGGCAACCTAAAATGATTATAATGATAATTATTAAATCATAAAATAATTGAAATTACCATAAAAATGATTCAATATTTTGGGACAATCATATTTTTTATGATTATCCCAAAATATAAAGTATAACTATAAAATTATAGTCACTTGAATCATTTTTTAATCAATAATAATATATAATTATAGTTACAAATGTAAAACATTTTTCTCTCAGTGTACTATTAGACTTAACTCATATTCTCGTTAAAGAGAAAAAATACAATCTATGAAATAAATCAATTTATTTCAACTAATGATTAAAAGTACATAATTTATAATCATTTTTAAGTAGTAATTTTTTATAGATTAAAAATTTCGATCTCCTCTCTATTTCTTTAATTTTAAAAAAAGTTGAACTGAGATTAAAATTTAATTACACTGGAGCAAATAAACTAATTAATCGGGAATTCATTGCATAATTCTTATGTATATGCAATTTGTTTGATAATGTGCACCTAATTTCTACAGCATAAACAAGTTTATCAATGCCCCTTTGATCAAAGAAAACAGAGATATTTCCATATAAAAAAATAAATAATCAACATTGAACTCTTGAAACGTTAAACAAATAATAAATAAAGAAAAAACGAACAATTAAAAGTCTGAATACGTGCACGGACGAGATAATTATATAATTAATTATATAATTAATTACTGCGTATTAAGATTCTTAATTTTTTCTTTATTTATTATTTGTTTATATTTCCATATTTCAATATTATTCATTTCTATAATTCTGTAACTTGAAAAGTCAATATCTCTTAAAATCTTATGCTGTGTGATTCTACAATGTGTTATGTGTGTAGTCGGAAATCTAATAGCTGTATTCATAGTCAGATTTTATACTTAAAGTTTCCTTAAATTTATCTTTAGACCAGGCTTTGTAGCCAATGAAATAATTCATGAAGTATTTGAAGATAAAGGAAACCTTAAATATAAGGCCTGGTTATGAATATGGACATTAATCTTAATTGATGAAGTCAATCAGCATTAGAGAGACGGAGGAAGGGGGGAGGAGAGAGAGAGAGAGAGAGAGAGAGAGAGAGAGAGAGAGAGAGAGAGAGAGTTGTATAAGTTGGCTATTATTCAACTTCAGAGCGATAAGACTTACAATTAGAACTACCTACTCATTATAGAAACATTAAACGAAATGTTCGCAAATAAATTTTCAAAGAATTTCGGCAAAAAGACCGATTTTTGTACAAATTAATTTTGTTAGAAAAACTGCATTTTTCAATTAGCGCCTCAATATAATAATGCAGAATATATAGGATGTTACCAAGTTAAATCATCAAACTCAAAATATAATAATGTGAATATAATAATTAAAATATAAAACATGAATTCAGGAGATAAAACAAATAAACTTTTTCTCTAAAAATTTGCTTTACAAGTAATGCTTTGACTCCATAAGTTACAAAACTATAGAATAATGTTGAAATATATTTTATTTTGAAAATTGAAGGAAATTATTGATAAGCTTTTGTTTACATTGTAAATTGTAACCTAAGCAATAACGCAAGTGTGCAAAAAAATTACGCATATTTCACATAATATACATAATACAGCTACTCATTCTTTCACTAATAAATGTAATGCTTGTTAATGACTGAAAGTCATTAGTTTGAACAAAACATTTAATACATCAATTAAAGTACAAGAAATGCCACTTATGATCAAAGTTAAATGTTTAAATAATACGTACATATGTACTTTAAATAATTTTATCTCGTAAGATAAGAGTCATAAGTATGATTGCATGCATTATACTTTCAACACAATCAACCTGAAATATTAATAATTTTAATAAAAATAATTTTTCCAATTTAATTTAGATGCATCATAAAATCTGTAAAGAACTTATTGTGAAATATATTATCTTGGCCAGCGATTTAATAATTACATTTTGATTATTGTAAAGTAATAAAGAAGAAATATGTCTAGATTATTTCAACATTATTCATTTCTACAGTTTTAAAAACTTACTTCTTAACAAAACATTTGTGAGCAAACTTTTTATTTGAGAGAAAAATTTTTATTTGTTTTAAGATCTTAAATATTCATATTTCAAATTGGCCGTGGTTTAACCCAAGAAAATCCTGTATATCGCCAAAAAAAAAGATATGATTGATGTGGTAAACCGATACTGATTGTCGTTTCAAACTAAATAATTCAATTGGCAAGCTTTATTTTATATTCGTCTTATATAGAATTCTCTCAATTGAACATTATTAATTTTTAAAAATTATTATTAATAATTAAAAATTAATCTTGCCGAAATCGTATTTTCTCGATTGTCTTAATAGAATAATGGTACTATAAATATAAGATGAATAAATATACTCACCAATTTAGCTAATTATCAATTCATGGTTTACACTGACAATGAGCAGGACAACGTCAGGAGAAATCTTGCGGAAGATGTGAAGATCCGAGATTAATGGCGATAATCATAACCTTGCAATTCACGGAAATTGTTACAATTCAATCACGTATTATGAATATCTATCTCTCATACGGTTTTTAAACTTATTTACATTAACGTTATATATAAATTCTTATACTGATAATTAATCTAGCGATCGACATAAACTCGACTGAAATTCGCGAAAAACAGAAAGATACATTCGACGTGAAAAACAACGTCGAACCGCGATAACCGTTGAACTAATGGCGGATTCAATTGAATTTGGAAGTGCGCACTGGTGCATATTAAAGCCGTTGTACACTGAGTATAAAAATGAAATGCAAATATTTCGAATAAAACACACATTCTACTTAATAATATACAATAAATACATGAGTATTTTACGATTTAATCGATTTCTATGTTTATTTAAATATATCTACGTTTGTACGACGATTTTAAGGTGAGTGCATCGGTGCGAATGCATGAGTGCGTCCAATCGAATCGATTCGCTGTAACTTGTGATCGGCAAACTTCATTGCATACTTCTATCGAAAAAAACTCGATCGATCGTTACAATTTTTCTAATCTCTAGAATCGCAAATTAAAGTTTCGATTGGCGTATTCAGATTTCATTGTAACTTAACAATATTTAATATGATTAATTACCTAAATATTCTTTTGAACGTTTAATGTAAGGACACAACGATCGTTGCGTTCGCAAAGGGAAAAGATGAGCGTGCGAAGATGGAAACTGTAATCTTGGGATTTTGTCTCCTGAAACTGCATTATCGGCGAAGCGACCGCGCGGTTTCAACGGATAAGTGGAAACTCTGTAACCCGCGGGGCCGGTCGAATCCGTGACGTCGTCTACGTGCCGTGTCGCTCTCTCAGTCTCGTATTCGACGCATCGTGCAGCGATTTGGTACTGCGAACGCATAACGGACGTATGAGGTATCTTTCGAAGGACTCATGCGATGCACGCTGCCTGTGGAACGAGTGCCGGGTGTGCTGTTTTTGATTCGCGGACACGACTCGATGGAAACGCATATGCGATAGAGATTGCAGACATCGTCAGGTGTACTGAGTTAGATGGTGTCGAGCACGTCGCAGCGGTGCTTCGATACTACGCGAAGAATATGGACGTAACGCTTGTAAGTCGTAAAAATTCATTTGCGAGGATATAACGTTCTGTCGACGTGCGATCGTTCCGGTAGCGAGGTAAGGTTAAGTTATTGCAGTGCGGTGCGGACAATCGCTTCTCTTATCGGCCGTCACGCGGCAGCACTGTGTAACGGCGCTGCTACGTAGCGGCAAGGCGCGCATTTCAACTCGATACTATTATTTGAATTATTTATAATAAGAGTTAAGACAAAGTTAAGTTAAGAAAAGTTAAGATGCTGCTATATTAATAAATTTATAACTAATAAATTTTGATGTATATATGTATATAGATATAAAAAATATTGGATTCTTCGAAATCAATGTAATGTACATCAAATTTGAAAATATCCGTTGAAGTTATTTAATTTTTCGACATCATCTGAGATATAATAATAATATACATAGTAATGTATATGTTGGAAAAATAATCAAAATTCTGAAAAAATTAATTGTTTAGTGAATTACTTGTTTAAGTACGCATGAATTCAATTTAAAAAAATTTTTAAATTGCATTTTTATAGTTCCAATAAAATCAGGTCTGAGGGAGTAAACTTTCAATTTAAAATCACTTATTTATACTACTAATTAAAAACAATTATCCTTGTTATTGTTTTAACTCTTATTACAGAAACTCTACTTGATACATTGCGGCGATGTTAAAACGATCGGTTAAAAGTTTCAAGAGTCATGAACATGTGGATTAATTAATTGGGTATTTAAATAATGAATTTATCGAGTTGTTCGATTACTTAAGTAAGATATTCAAACTATCCGGATGATTTGAATTTTAATAATATTAACGATAATATTAACGAAAAATAAATATTTATTAATATGCAGAATTATGTTTATCAAATGAGATAATAAACTACAAGAAATATAATTGAAAATGTTAATTTTTTTATTACTAAGCATTAGAATTTGTTCTCTTTTAAAAAAAATTTGTTAACTGAGAAAAATATCTATTTCTGAACTTATATGAATCGTTTGGAACTTCTTTCATCAAAATTGAAATATTTAATAAAAATATATATTTTTAATGATTTATATATATATATATGTATATATAGTGTCTATTTTCGTACGACTGGTGACTATACATATAATATATAAAACACATAAACTTCAAAATGATTTTTTTTATGTGTAATAGACATACGAAAGTGATACAATTTTAATAACTTTTGTAATGTTATATTTTGTTCTTTTATTCTACGCAAAAATATTAATAATATGATTTAATAGATATAATTTTATAGCATTTACTTAGAAACGATGAATATTATTATTTTTCTAGCACATCAGCGCATTTTCCCTATAAAACACAATATTCTTTGAATGTTATATGAAAATTAAAAAAGATTAATAATATTGATATAACATTGTAAGAATATTGTGCGCTTATGAGGAATATAGGGTTGTAGCTCCTTGCGGTAAGATACTCGATAATGATTTTTCGCATAACATTATCAATATGAACTCTTTGAGGAGAGTCTTTTCACGGTAAAAGCATTTTACGGATTTTTCACGATTAACAGCGGCCTCGAGGCCAGAGGTTCAATCTCGATCAGAGGCGGCGTGGTGCGGCGTGGTGCGGCGCGGACGCGGACGCGGACGCGTCTCCAGGATCGCCCATTAACCGTGTGCGTCTAGCGATCCGCAAAAGCGAGACGACGTCGTAAAAGGGGAGGGGCGGTCACGCCGCGGCGCCAAGGCAGCTCTGGGCTCTTCTTGAGCTCTCGAGTAGCATCGCGGGCGGAACGCTTCTTCGAGAGATGCTCCTCCATTATCGTAATTTGCAAATTTCCCCGGGACCGCGATGAAAAACGACGAGAGGCGCCGTGGTTTCGCGTTGAAACGCGCGAGTACGGTGAAGGAGAATCAGGGAGGAGAAGGCAGATCGCTAGGGGTGGAAAGAGAGGAAGATGGCGAGGCGTGGGGAGAGGAGGAACAGGAACCGCGAAGACGGTGGCGGATTGGCGGCCTCGGGCGCGGTTGCGGATTCTCGGCGTGATGCCGGTGATTCGCGGCTTTGGTGCCCAGTAATCCCAGGTCCCCCGCTCGCCCGGCCATATTCCTCCTCCCGCGCAGCCCTCCGTCGGTCTTTGATACAGCGCGGCGGCCCGCTTGTATACCGGCGGGACGGGGGAGCCTCAATCTCGCGGTAAATACAGCAATCGCTCGCGATGTGCCGTCCGCATTAATATAATTAGTCACCGCGAGCGTTCCGAGAGAACGATGCCGAGGAACGGATTCCGTAGCTTGCTTGCGAGTTGCGAGTTGAGCTCCGGGCGGCGCACGCACGCACGCACGCACGCACGCACGAAATATCGCAGCTTAAGTATTTCGGGGGATGCAAGTATATCGACGACGCGCACCCTCGGGCATCCTACGTCTACGATGCGACAGACCAAGTTGCTGTCTTGTCGGCTGTTAACCAATTATGCTCCGTATCATGTCTCGCGCGCGGCACTCGTTCCACAAAATTTTACAGAGAACATCGACTGTAAAATTTGGGTACCGATGGCATATTAATTAATGTCTTGTATGTCCAGCATGGCTCCGAAGAAGCCCGAGGAACCCGAGCGAAAGCCACTTATCGGTCGCGTTGGTACTAATTTAAAAATGGGCATAGTCGGGATTCCAAATGTAGGAAAATCGACTTTCTTCAACGTTCTCACCAAGAGCCAAGCAGCGGCCGAGAATTTCCCCTTCTGCACCATCGACCCCAATGAAAATAAGTATCTTGATGTACTTATGTGAATTTTAAACGAAATTATTAGAATTTAAGTCTCAATCAAATTAGAATATCCTCAATCCTTCTTTCTTATCTCTACAACATTATTATATTTCTAAAATATAATTAAGTTGTCTATTGATAACTATTTTTTTTATCTTATTAATTTGTTCCGAAATTTTCTTTATTGGTTTGCAGGTCTAGTATACTGTAAATTATATAATTAATAATTAACGTATCTTTGCTTAAAGTTAATGTAATTGAATAATTTCTTTTTTATTTTAAAAGTAAAAATTTGAGGTATAAGATTATGTAACTTATGTAAAATTTTGAAAAACATTTATTTTAAACAATTTTTCACAATATATGTTGAAAAAAATGTGTGGATCTACTGGAATTACGAATATCGATTAAGGTTAATAATTATAATCAATTGAACTCTCCATTTTAAATTATATTTTAGGCGAATTTTTTTATCGGATCAATCGCATTATGCGCAAATGCAATTTGACTCTGTAATCTGCATTTGCACATAATGCGATTTGATGAATTTAAAAACACATACAATTGATGAATTTAAAAAGTCGCATTATCTTGAAGCAAAATGGTAATTTAAACAGCGCATAAATCATTTCGACTTCGATTGTTTAACCTTACATATACAGCTATGACAAAATATTGAACTGAAATTAAAATCGTCGATATAAGTTACTTTAATTACACAAAAATGTGTGACACACGTTTAGAAAAGCTCAGGGAGAATCATGCTGAGAGAGTTTTTATTGAATCGTTTATGAAAAAAAGAGGCTTTCTACAATTAATTGAAGATTCTCAAAAGATTTCTGCACATGTATCCTCCTCAATTGTGTATCCAAAGGCTAATTTATATTACGCTTTTGCTGAGGATATACATCCGATGAAAAGGATTGTCACCGCTTCTAAGCTCTTTGAAAAGGAAAAGTTTTTACCGCAACCTGTATCTCGCAAAGAACTCTTTACAACTCAAGATCTTTATTCGAAAGACGAAGCTGTAAATCATTATCTTAGAACCGATCCACCGAGTTTCGTTATTTTTGGGAAACCTGGATTAGATTACGCCAACATTGCATCGGCGATAGCCGACGCTTGGAACTGTGTTTTACTTTCGCCTACGTCGCTAATTCGACAAGAGATCGATGCTGGTACTGATAAAGGCCAATACTTGGAAAGAATTTTGCGACTCGGTAGATCTATAGGACCGGAAATTCTTATGAACTTGATACGTTGCAGAGTCAGGACGAGGGATGTCAAACATAGAGGCTACGTCATTGGCTGTTTACCGTTTATTTCTAACGATATAAACTTTAATTCATCATGTTCCAGTCCTGTTTTGAATATAAATGACACTTACCCAGAATTTTGCGAAAATACGACGATTGAATCGCAAGAGACACATAAAGATCGCTTCACATTCGATAGTTTTGGTTGTAAGATGGAATTTGATTACGAACGAGAAATCCCTCGACAGATCGACGAAATATTTACTATATGGCCAAGAAAACCTCTGATAATTATTTATCTTGTATGTCCAAAACAAGACATTGCTAGTAAGTGTGCGCGGCGGCGCATAAACTATCTGACAGGTGATATTTTTGATGAAAACGAATTCGTGATGCAACTATCTGAATCCGAACACGATGAATCGAACACCTCGCTTGATTTCTTCCAAATTGGAAACAAACAATCGGCCGTGAATGATGATCAAAGATTGGTGAAACTAATATCTGACATGACACGCAATGTTAAGACACAGTGTGATCTTTACGAACGTTTGGCGTTGCCAGTAATCGATAAATGGATTCTCGCTCATAATCCCCAGTATGTAATCCGCGTGGATGGCCGTAGTTCCGTGCGACGAATACTTCACATCCTCAAAACACGTTTGCGTACTTTGGCATTACTGCCATCAATTCTTCCAAAAGGAATGATCGAACAGAATGACGCACTTGGAACATCTCCAGAAATGAGCTTGAGCGATGAGCTCGCAAAAGAATCTGCTGAAGAGGCTTTCGAGATTTTAAGACTAAGAGAAGTTGTATCTCTCAGTTTCCCCTGGAGACTTTCCGCGTGGAAGTTTTACTGCCCTGTCGAGTTAGCACAAGGACGAACCGTTAAGGGACTCCCAAAGCACGCGGTGCGATTTTTGGATATGATCTTTTTTCTCTCTTCTGAAGGAGCTACAAATTTATTCATTGAAAATCCGAGAACTTTTTTATTGCCACCGAATCCGCGGCCACCCTGCAAGATAGCGGTGTTTGGGCCAAAATACGCTGGTAAATCGGAACTTAGCATAAGATTGGCGGAGGTTTTCGGCGGAGTCGTGATAAATGTTGATGAGATTATAAAAGAATTAGTTAAACAACGCGAAAAGTATTTGATTCAAGAGTTTTATAAGAACGATTCAAATGTAGAACAAGTCTCGCTGAAACCTATCGACATATCGGCTGATGAAAAGGCTGATATTATTATACAGAACATCAAGCGAATACCTGATGAAAAGTTAGAAGAGGAGCTTCGAAGAGATGGTGGATATGTTATCGATGGAATGTGCACAGATGCCGAAGTTTGGCGAAAAATTGTTGACGAAGCTAACATCATTTTTGAAGACGTTATCGTTTTGTTTGAAGAAGAGCCGTATACCTACTTATTGAATAAATTTCGCACTTTTTCTCATCTTGATGATTCTAGATATGATGCGGAGGCAGATCATGAAGAACAAACAGTATTACATGAAGATGCAGAATGGGAATATCTTGAACATTTAACGCAATTCGAATCGGAGTGGACGAAATTCGAGGAACAAATTTCTGAATTTAAAGGAAATATGATAAAGTGTAATCTCGCGACTATCGAAGATATAATGGAATATGTAATAAATCATATTAAATTTCGTTTCGATTTTACAACTCCCGTTAGGAACGTCGAAAAAAAAAATAAAGAAAATGAAATATTGACCGAAACAGCAGACGAAAACGAAGCAAATTTGGCTGATAAAGAAACTGAAGAAGAAACTGAAGAAAAGGAAGAAAAAAATCTCACATACACCATCGATCTTGCCACAGCCGAACGACTTCTCGATTGCGGTTATTATTTCCTCAGTTCCTTCGGTCGATGGTGTCCTGTGCAACTCTACACCAATATGATACCAATTCAAATGTTTCTGCCGATGAAAGCTCGTGGTCAGATTTTTCCAGTTGTGTATCGTCCGTATATTTATTTCCTTGCGGGCGAAGAAGCGCTCTTGGCATTTCTAAATAATCCGTCGAAGTATCTCGTGCAAGATGTCCATCCTCCGCTTCTTCCGCTTCGAATTTCCATCATCGGACCGCCGAAATGCGGAAAAACAACGTTGGCAAATCGTTTCTCGAAAACATATGGCTTGAAGATAATTACTCGCGGCAAGGCGTTGCGCCACATATTGAAATATTATCCTTGGACCGAGTCGGCGCGTATCATTGAAGATCAACTTCGAGCTGGTCAGGCTGCTTCGATCGAATCTGTAGCACGTGCCATCGAAATGTTATCTATAGGAACAAGCGCTGTAACTCAAGGTTGTGTTCTGGATGATTGTCCTTCAAATCGTAAGGAAACCGAGCAACTAGTCGTTTTAGGAATACAGCCAATGATTGTGCTTGATTTAAAAGCGGATCTAGAGTTCTGCCTCGAATGTCTGTCTTGGGATAATGATGATACCAGAAGTCCATTGAATTTCTCCGCTAGTTTTCTGTCGCGACGTTACGAGGATTGGCAAACGGACCAAGCGAGTTTTCGAGACTGGCTAAAAAGATTCTGGCAGAATCTAATCGAATTGGATGCTACTAAGAGTAAGTGGTATGTGTGGACTCGCGTAGATCACGTGGTATGCTCACAATTTGTTGATATCATGCTTTATTTTTATGAGGCAAACTTGGATAAGGTTCACTGTTTGAAGCAAATGTGCGTATCACCGTACGAGTTTCAATCGCTTCAGAGTCGATACGAATCGTACTGTCCCGTTTGCTTGTTTTGTGAAAACATCTTGAAAACTTCTGGTCAATTGGTAACCGGTCAAGGAATGGTCCAATTTAGGGAATATTTTTATTGGATTTGTCCGCAACATATAAACGCCTTCGTTAGAGATCCATTGCATTACCTTTCACCTGTTACTGCGTCTCTTGTCGATGAACGACCTCGGATATTGCAGGAGACAGTCGACGTGGAGCACGCTTGTTGGGCTCAACGTCTCCAGGTCGACGGATTGTGTATAGTAACTTATGTCGACTGCCTGCCGAATCACAAGCTAACACCAGGCAGAGTCGATTTGGGTGCCATCCTGAAGAATAAAGTATATCTCTTCTGCAGCGAAGAATGTCGCGAAAAGTTTCTCGCGCAGCACAGTAAATACTCTGAAATGGATATTGCGTTGCCTTGCGAAGCAAGACTTCCGCCGATCGAAGAGCAACGTTTGTCGGATGTGGCTTTCCTGGAGCAAACGGTGGTGAAAACGTTGGTCAAAGCTGTAACTCTGGTCGGCGCCCGACGTCCGAAGATAATCGGCTTGTCGGCGGCTGTCAGCGCTGCGATTTATATCGGCGTTTACTTGAAGATGCACAACGTGATCGAAGACTTGACCGAGATGGATATTTACGAGATCGCGAGCAAGCGACTCGATGGACGAAACAGAATTATAGAAATTGTTACTGATACCATGAAAAAGATTAATCCCTATGAATCTGTACAAAATAATCCAAAATAATCCTGTTAAATATTCCTTATACATTACATGGACACGTTTATCTAATAATAAGTTATAAGTGGTATATGTTCTATGTGAAACATTGTTAACTCTCCGGAGCTGACGCCAAAATCTATAACAATTATTGACACTGGATCTGTATACAATACTGACCTTAGTCAATAATATTTTGTCAGTACCAACTTACTAATCGTTATTAATATTAATAGATTGATTTAGAATATATTGATGATCTGAATTTTTTTATTCTCAAGCATTAGTATAGTAATAATAAACTAAAAAATATATTTAAAAAGTTACAGATTTTTAAGCAATGTATAGTTAATTATTTAACAGCACAATCAACTGTACTATTAATGGTTAAAACAACTAAATAAATGCATATGTCTCAAAAAATTATATTTAAATTATATTATAGCAATATGGCAACCATTTTTTTTTCTCTCAATAAACATAATGAAAATTGAATTGTTTGCCATTTTTAACAGAAAGATTTATTATTGAATGAATCCAATAGCTCTATCGTCAGCTTCGCAGGGTTAATCATTTTTACATCGTCAAGAATTCAAGCTATTCAATTCTTTTTTTCAGCACGTCGCGTTCCGGTGCCTGACACGAGATACGACTACCTCTGCGAATATTTTAAACCGGCTAGGTAAGAAACAGCAAGAAATGTTCCTAAAGTACATTGAACGTAACGTAGGGTAAATGTGTACAACAGAATGGAAGCATATAGTGCCGCGTAAAGATGCACCCTCGTGAAGGGAAACGAGTCGGAATAACGGGGGACATTTCCATACTTGTTCACTTTTATTCCTGAAGAAAGACGAGGGAGTTGGAAGGGAGCGAGGGGCGATCTGCAATGCAGATTGGTCTAAATTCGTCTACGAAACGCGAAACGTCCTCGTTCACCGACGTTACGTTTCTTTATTCGCCTCAGCACGTGATGTGGCAATCTTAAAGCCAGGTTACAGACTTAGTGCTATGGCACACAAAAAACTTAAGCAGTAAAACGTAAGCAATTGGTCAATCACATTAGAGACCGTAACATAAGCGATAGCCAATCCAACATGTTGATTTCTTTACTGCTTAAATTTTTTTGTGTACCATGGACTTTATATAACAAAACGTCGCGAATGTCGCTGCGAAGAAGACAGCATGCAGTGTGAACGGTGTTCAAACACTGCCGTTAACATCACCGCACTTTTCTCAGTTTGCATTCCCGACGTGAATGGTCCCGATGGAGTGGTCAAAAGAAAAGACTTTCTTATTAATAGAGAAATATGGATAATTTGAATTGTTGGAATATTTTATACAAATTCATTTATATTTTAAATAAATCCATTTCGAAGTTCGGATTACTTTATTAAAAATATTAAAAATAAAATTTCTTTAATTATAAATTTCTTTATTAAGGTGCAGACGAAGTTTACGAAAGTTCCTGACTATACTTCAATAATATGATGTTCCTTTTGGATAAGCTACGCTTTCTCCTCGCTCGGTTTCATACTGAGCTGATGTCTAAATGTGAAACGCGCTTGTCTTGCGCCAGATTCGATAGGAATCGAAGCATTGAAAATGCGAAACAGCGTCGGATCAAAGAGCGGCCGATTCATCGGGGTCCTCTAGTCCACCCTATTATCGTCGCGTCCTCATCGTCTATGTATCGGACAACCCCGACTGTCGGCACGTGTCGGATGATTCGACGATCCGTGATGAAAGCCGGCTAATACACCATCCCTCTCCCCTCCGTCTCTCTGTTCATCAGTTCGTCCACTTTCACCGACGCCTCCCTTCAAAGGCTAATTGTTTAATGAGCCCGTTGGCATTAGCATTTAAATACACCTCGTTGTCACTGTCGTCCCTCCCCTATTTCCATTCTGCGCGCGTGCATCACGCAGTAAATACCTTCGACCTTTAATTCGCGATCATCAATGACCTCCGAAATCAGCGTACGCGACTAACGCGTTCTCGAAATATTATCCCCATACAGTAGACACATCATTCCGATTTATATCCGTTTTTATCAATAGATTAATAGATTAATCTATTAATTAATATTAATAGATTAATAGATTAATTTTAATCTTGATTTAATTTACTTTTTATTTTTTTCTAATTCTTAGAATTTCTAGCTTTAAAAATTAAAATTTCTAGTTCTATAAATTAGAAGAAGATAAAAAGAAAGTTAAATTAAAATTAACTTACATTGATACAAACGAGCTCATAAGTTGTATAATCTACATGGGCTAGTATTTCGAGACCGCGTTTTTTTTTCTTAATTAATAAATAAATTATGATGCACATTGCAAAAAGTTGTACAGATCTTTGAAACCGTGTTATAGATATATTAAAATTTTGAAATGTAATGATACAATAAAGAGTAAATTAAATCGAAACAGTTATTCATTGATAGATATAGGATTAGACTTTGATGAATTTATAGCTAATAACTACGATTATAACTATGATTAAAAGGATGCATCTTTATGCCGTTCTTGACATTTATCCTTATCTGATAATAGTAATTAGAAATTCGAATTTCCAGTAAAGTTCCAGCCTTCTTGCACGTAATGGATATTGCTGGTCTAGTGAAAGGTGCCTCCGAGGGACAAGGCTTAGGAAACAGTTTTCTCTCGCACATCGGAGCTTGCGATGGCATTTTTCATCTCTGCCGTAAGTATGCTATCATTGAAAATGTCACCATTTGTTTCAATGTTTACTTGATTTCCGTTATTAATAACATTTTAATCGTTTCACATTGACGTGACGCATTAAATAAATAAATCACTGGGAAGATACTTTCACAGAACCTTATCAAACATGGAATCGCGACAATAGCGATTACGGCGAAAGAAGGAAATTTTTGTCGATGAGATCGAGAGATTGATCTCGAGCGATATTTACTTTGCGTCCGTTGATCGTGCAATCGCGATTGCAAATTTATTTTTACGACACACATGTATACCTTGTTGGCATTACGAACATGTGTTGATGGTTTAACTATCTTCCTGGAAACACATTACATTATTGTCCCTTGCGATAATCCAGATCGATCAACTTGCAGTTATCGTTGTGAACGTGTCCTTGTCTATCTCATACATAAACAAGAAATTATCGTACAGTATATAAAACAAGATATTTAAAAGTTCTCAATTTTTTTATAGAACGCATGTTCGATTACTAACGCGTATTTAATGTGGATTTTAATTAACTATTTTAAAATTTCAAATTTTTAAAGAAACTCGGTTTGAAATTGAAGAATTTAATTGATTAGCAAACATCTGTGTAAATAACATATAATTTTTAAATATTTATCATAATCAAAATATGTAGAGAAAATATTGTAGTATAAATTATTATATTTCCTTTTGAGTACGTTGTTAAACTAAAATATAATAACAAAGTATTAGTTCTATTACTATAATGATTGACAATCAATTATATATGTATTTCGATCAATCACATTAATAAAATTACAATGTACATTGCGAGAAATTATGCAGATATTTTAAGTTGTTATATGTATAAAAATTGAAAAATATAATGACACAATTAATTAAGTTTTTGTCTAAAAAAATTACTGCGTTGATATTGTAACTTTTAACACTGTATGATAAAATAGCTCATATAAAATCACTGTACTCATCTTATAAAACTTTTTGATGGAATTCAATCGCTTGAAATGGTATATTACGATATTTTTACGATATTTGAAGTCTCTTGTAAAATATAAAACGTATATCCTTGAATAAAAATATCATATTTTCTGTTATAACATCAGTACATTCTAATACATAACAAAAACTTGTAATCATTGCTACAATATTTCCCTGTAGAATGTAAATGTTACCAAGTGGAAAAGTGAATTTGCCATAATGTTCATGAAGAGATAATACACATAATTGTCAATAAAATTAATGGCACGTGGTATTTCTCATATCTACGAAAGCCACAAGATCCATGTACTTTACATCGCGATAATGTACAACACGTAATAATTTATTAAACGACTGCTGATTCCTTTGAGAGAATGACCGTTAGGTATATATTATATTCGTACTCGAATAACATTTCGAGGTAGTTCTACGCCTTGCCAGGTCGCTGACAGGTGGTAATTTTTTCAATTAAACCAACCTGGCAATCTTCGCGTGGCAGTGGCGGTGGCGGTAGCTCGTTTAAACAGTCGACATGCGAGCCTTGCGTTGAGGCGTTACTTAAGTACAAGCATCGTGCAACCCCAGTTTCGAGATTACGTTTCCTGGCTTGGCGCGAGAGATCTGTTTACTTGTGCTTTATTAGGTGCCTTCGAGGACGACGATGTGACCCACGTGGAGGGTGACGTCAATCCCGTAAGAGACCTTGATATCATTAGCGAAGAGTTACGACTGAAGGACGTGGAATTTTTGAACGTCCACCTCGAGAAGCTTGAGAAGCTTGTGATACGCGGTAATGATAAGAAGCTGAAACCTGAATACGTGAGTATTTGATTACGTTTCAATAAAATAGATTCTTTAAATGGAGAAACACGCTTTGTTCGTGTAAAAATATATTTTCAAAAGAACAGCAAACATTCTACGGAAATTCTATATCTGCTAAAAATGATTGCGTTCAGCAGAAAAAGTAACTTTGCAACGGTTGTAAAATTCTTTAATATGATCGAACTTACCTTTAGTTCCTCATTGGATCTAAATGTATAAACTAATTTATTAAATAATTTTACAACAGTTGTGTGCGTGTGCGAAGCTACTTTTTTTTTACTGAATGCATTGTCTTTATTTGTCATTATTGCGGAGTTAAACCTAATTTACAATGCTCTTTGCTTCCTGTTTTTCGCTTTTTACTTCTTGTTTTTTTTCCTTTTTGTAACTGTTTTATTGACGTGTTTCTTATCACGTATTTTTTATCTGTGTGAAATTTGTCAACTTTTATTTCGGGTAATAGGAAATGATGAAACAGAATAAGAGACAAAGAGGCAAGAGATAAAAAAGTGATAAAAAAACAACAAAACAGGAAGCAAAGAATATATTCTAGATTAGACTTTATCGGTATAACATTCATTACTATAATGTAACTTATACATTTTCGATATGTATGCAATGGTATACATACGTTGTGTTGAACTATCAATTGTGATAATTTTGATTATCAGTTGTGATAATTTTGTAGAAAAACGGAGACGTTTCATAAAATGCCATTTAACAGTGATAACGGTCCAACTGATGTAATTCCATCAATGTGTAAATAAATAACATACAGTACCCTCCATAAGTTTGGGAACACCCTACGTTTACAGGTTTGTAAATAATTATTTAATTAAAAAAAGACAAAATAAAAAGTACATACGTTATCTGTAACATATGTATGTATGTACTTTTTTCAATTAAAGATTTAATAACATGCTATTAAAATATTGAATTTTAAAATGCGATTTATACGAAATCTGATTCTTCGAGGTCATTTTACAATTTTTACGGAGTCTGAAATCAACTTGTGACTCACTCAAATAGTTTATCACTTTTATAGAAACCGTTAAACTACAATTAAATGACCTGTGTATATACAACGAACACGAGTACGACGTTGCAAAATAAGTGACAATATATGTATATAAAAATAGATCAAAGTGCGAAATATAATCTTGATCGATGCTGTGATATTGTCCAATATATTTTCGGCACAAACTTATAGGTGTTCTAATAAATGTTTATCATTTAGTTGTCTTACGAAGTATTTAAATCAAAAACATATATAGATCGCTGTTATGTAATGGCTTTCCTGTAAAACGTAAGGTGTTCCCAAACTTATGGAGGTATTGTATACATGTATATCACTTCCTGTAAATTATCTAGATATCGCATGTAGGATGCAAATTGCGTAATCACATATTTGATTCATTCGATCGTTTATTTTTCTTTCGACTTTATCAGCTGTCGAAAGGATCATACACAATTCTTATGTTTTCGATGAAATTGGCTGTAACTTTGCTTTTTATTTTATAGTTTATGTTTTTATGATGCTGATCAAAAGTTAATATTGTCACAATGCAAGTAAACTGGTTGCTTTCTACAGAGTAATAAAAAGTTTAAAGTGTCATGAATCTTACATGTATCTGGTGATTATTTTTTATGTTTCAGTCAATCAAATATCCTAGAAATATTAGAATGAAGAAAAATAATAGCATTTTTTTTAAGAGAGCACGTTTTAAAAATAATGCAAGCTTGATTCCATTTATTCACTTTATATTAACTATAAAATAAAATAAAGTTGCAAAGAGTCAATTTTGTCAGAAGCTATTTCTGATGAGAATTATGTGGGATTTTTTCTATGAATTTATATACGAAATCGCGAAATTGATTGTGATGTATGGTAGGTGCGTCTTTTTAACAAGAAAGATCAATCATCTATAAACATGAAATATATCTTATGTCTAATCGATTTTACCGAACTACTTTTTGTCACGAGAGTCTAAGGAATTTTCTTGCGTTTTTCCCTCGCTTGATGTTCATACATGGCGCAAGAAGGTCTAGCGAGTACAGTTGCAGCCCCTTTTGTCAGGCCAGCTATAAAATTACCGAGGAAATTAAGAGAACGCGGGCGAAACGAGACTTCCTGGAACGAGTCGATCGTCGGATTTACCCTCCTTCCGCGGATTGACCCACGGCAATTACCGATCTCCCCCTCGTTCTCGACTTTGCAATTTGGCAAAAGTTTTCGAGAATTCGAAGCTACCTTTTCGTCCTTTCTCTCTCTCTTTCTCTTTCTCTCGGCAAAGCTAATGGGACCGCGCGCTCGACTAGTCCAGCACGATCCTCTAATCACGATTCGATCGCGAAATTATCCTACTCGATGGCCCACGTTCGTGCATCTGAATGTCTGGCGAGATCGATGAATGTCGAAGTCGTTACATTTGATTGTCGAGAAATAAGGCCGTTACGCAACAGGAGTGAATTTCGGGATTAAGTGGAATTTTTCAATCCGTATGTTGTAGGATACGCTTCTAAAAGTAAAGGGCGTCTTGACGGATGAGAAAAAACACATCAGGTTCGCTGATTGGAGTGCCAACGATGTAAGTTTAAACATTTTACATTTGTATAATATATTTTATCGTGATTAACCCTTCGATCCCCCATTATATTTTATCATGAGTATAACATTCTGTGTATGGCATATTAATTCAATCCAACTTTGTGCGTATGTGCTTATAATTTTTATAAAAATGTATATAAAAATGAACATATTGCAACAAATTTGTTTTTAATCAAAGTGTCACTCATTAAAGAATATCAAGCAATGACATCAAACAATTATATATCTTTATTAATAAGAAGAGTTCAATAAAGCACTAAAGTAAACAAAAGTTTCGAAAAAAACTATCCAGGAAAAACAAAACTGGATATGCCATACGAAGAGTAGCACGAAAAGATTAAAAGAATTTTCCTCTTTGATTTTACATTTGATAAATTTTTAGATCGAGGTGTTGAACAAGTATCTATTTCTTACGTCGAAGCCGATCATCTATTTGGTAAACCTGTCGGAAAAGGACTACATACGCAAGAAGAATAAATGGTATGCGATATAATGAACGATTGAACTAGTATCTCCCAGTTAATTACATCTCTCGTTATTCTTTGTAACAGGTTAATCAAGATAAAAGAATGGGTCGACAAGAACGATCCGGGCGCGGTGTTAATTCCTTTCAGCGGCGTCTTCGAAAACAAGATTTTCGATATGGACGAGGCGGAGCGCGCAAAATACTTCGAGGAACACAAAGTCACCAGGTTTGGTATCTCCCGGCCTCCTCCGGTCCGTTATAACGGATTATTATTACTTTTACCCTCTAAATGTTGTTGTGTCGCGCTCGCAAATAAGGGGGTACGGCCCGGAGCCCCGCGTCGTTTACCACCGCCTTTAAAACTTAGAGAAATTCGGTAGTGTGGTTCTCGCAAGAAGGTCGGACGTTCGTAAAATCACGCTGCGAACGCATCTCCTTCGACCGAGTTTGGGGAGTTCCCACATTTAGCTATGCACCGAGTTATTCTCTAACGGTAATAATGATGGTGGGCACGGTCGGCTCGGCGTCTAGACCTCTGTTCCACTCTCACCACGTGGGACGGCTAATAAAAACCATAGCCGGCACAGTCGCGGCGCATTATGTTTTTACGAACGGCTATTCAAATTCTTGCAAAATTGCATAAAAACCCCTCCCGCCCTCGCGGGCATGCCGGTATAATCGAGGAGGGTGGGGTGGAGCGAGAAGTAATCGGCGGTGGTTCGGCAATTCGATTGGTTAGCGGGTCATTCGTACCCCAGGGCGGTACGTACGTTGTACGTGGTATACGCATATATAAACTTGCATCACGATCTCTCTTTTTTTTTTTTACTTGTCGGAATGAATTTTAATCGAGCTGTATGGTACAGTTATAATTATGAATCGGAGACTCAATTAGGGCATTGAACAACATTGAATTAAATCCGATTCGATACGCCAGAATTGCCAGAAAGTACTTTAATAAGCGAGAAAGAGAGGTGGATGTTGGGAAAATATTTAAATGAAATAGTGGTGAACGAGGAACGTTTGGTATTTCCCGCGACATTCATTATGTAATATTTTCTGAACTTTCTCTCACAGCTAGTGAGTTAGTGAGGAAGTAGAAGAGAGTCCACGATACTCTTCAAGTTTCCCTAATGATCGGGGAATACAAACGAAGGGACGAAAGATGCCATGATTTTATTTCGAGACCGCAGATAACTGAGGGCGCCGGGAAATAGGTCCCCGACTGGAGTCGAAATGATAAAATTGCGGTATTAAGTCGTTCGGCTTTATGTGTATTCTTTGAACTTTGAGACTTTCGTCAGGCCCACCGCGCGTTGGACGGCTCCACTTGCGCTAACCTGTTATTAGACGATATTTAGCCCGAGACAATCTTATTCCACAACTTGGACACTTCCCGCGGACGCGCCTCATTTTTTCGTGATTCGCGGAAAGTAAAAAACTTACACCTCGTCGTGTTCGGCATATAGCAGACTCCTATCCTAGGTCTCAGTAAAAAAACAGATTTATTTATTGTACGTTTCTTTTCTTTGTATAGTGCACTCGATAAAATCATTGTACAAGGATACAAGGCGTTACAGCTGCAATATTTTTTCACGTCCGGTCACGATGAAGTTAAGGCGTGGACAATTCAGGTAAATATAGAATTCATAGCAATAAAGTTAAATAAAAATTAATTTATATTTAGAAAATTTCATAATTATATTAATGGAAAAATTATGTATTAAAATTATATATTAAATGACATTAATGATAATAAGAAAAATATATATATATTTTTTGTTCATCTCTTATCCTTTTATTATATTAATTTTTATTTTTATTAATTTACCGTTTATTAATGCATATTAATGTTATAATATGGAAATATATTTTTTTTATTTTATAGAAAGGCACAAAAGCGCCTCAAGCTGCGGGAAAAATACATACAGATTTTGAAAAAGGATTTATCATGGCAGAAGTGATGAAATTCGAAGATTTCAAGAATGAGGGCTCGGAAGCAGCAGTAAAAGTATTTGAATTACAGTTATAATTTTTATATTAAACGATACGTGACACACATTTCCTACTTTTACATGCGTTTTATTTTGTTGCTAGGCCGCCGGAAAGTACAGACAACAAGGACGTAATTATGTAGTCGAGGATGGCGATATTATTTTCTTCAAATTCAACGCAGGCGCTGGGTTAAAAGACGCGAAGAAGAAGTGATGGCACGCGTTTCTCATGTTGTTGCTGGTCCATCTGTACATCAACATGATTCTGTTATCCTGTTGCATGCATCATCCTCGCGTTAATCAATCCAATTCGCTTCCTGATCCTCCCTGACTTTTTCATTCACGATAAGCATGTATACACGCTAATGTGATGATCGATAATGATAATTATTTTTATATTTTGATTCCACGGAATCTATAAAAATTAATCGTGCTCATGATGCGTTTGCACAAAAACACGTATTGGAATAATCCAATATTCTTCTTGTTCCAAATTATGCGTAGAGAATAATTCGAATATATACATATAATTTTTTTTATAAAGAACATAATTGTCTACGCAAAAGAAAAAAATAACATTTTCATGTTTATTTTTAATGTGTACATAATTATCTGATTATGTAGATGGCATTCTATCTATATTATTTTTCACTTTTTATCTTTGTGAAAATGTGTTGATAGAGAAAGGAAAAGAGAATGAAAAGAAAAGGGTCGACGTGTACGTAAAGCATTTCTTTGTACTTTTCTGTATTTATTCTACAAATATTAAACTACATTGACGTAAAAGGATTGTAGCGGCTTCGTCATTTGCGAATGCGCTCTATTGCTAGTTATATTAATAATTATTCTGACAAGAATAATTACTGCGCTACAATCGATAAAAAATCGCACACGTAAAACTAAAATCGTTCGCCAACGATTTTATCGTCTACGTAGGATAGTTTTATGTGGTTACAGAATCAACCTCTAGATGGCACGAAAAGTTCACATTTGTTTCTTTGGTATAATTACGGAATCATAAGAGACTTTTTGAACTTTGTTTCCATTTTAATTTCCTTTTAACGCGGAAAATTTATCATAATTATTATTCAAGATTTATTTATTTGCAGTTGATTTATCTATCTTCATCGGATAGTATTTTCATCCATTGTTGAATGTTTTATTGAGAAGTCGAGATTTCAGCCATTGATAAAATTCTATCTCTTGTGCAAGCACTTTTCTCAAGGCTGCGTCTTTGATTCGTAGCCTTGAATTTGCCGAAAAAATGGCCGGATGCTTCTCTTTTGGTCCTGTATATATAAATAGAAACATATAAGACACGAGTATAAAGAATGACGAAACGCTCAATCGATAAGATTAAAATATATAGATATGGATCGATAAATATTTATACGAGTACTTACGGAAATGATCATAGATACGGATAGCATCCTTAAAAAAATAAGGAAATTCACCTGCAAACGCGTTTAGTGACTCCTCCATGTAATCTAATATACCAACAACAGGATACCATCGAATAACATTTGCTTTAGCTCGCTCCATTGCCCACGTTTTATTTTGTTTCCTAGGGAAAAACACGTACGTAGCATAAAAATCAATACCAGCCACTTCATGTTTTTTTTCATAAAAATATTCTTGCTCGGTGTCCAGCTGAAGTAACGGAAATGCCTAAAGATATGCCCTCGATATGCAATAAAGTGTTACATGAAATTATATGCAATGAGATTTATTTGAATTTATTCAAGAATAATCACCTGGGATGATTTTTGCACCCTAATAATAAAAAAATAAAGCTCACAATAGTTTTATTTACAGATTGAGAATCCATACCTATTTTTTAAATTTCTTTTACATTTTTTTAGAAAATATTTTGTGAATAAATCTATCACGATGATCTCAAATATTAATAAATTATATATATAATTCAAATATAATATAATATATTAATAATATAAATTGTAGAATTAACATACAATGTACATATATAATTAATAATGATTATTCTTAATTAGGATGTCAAATTCACTTTTCAGGTGATCGTTCGGGTGACGTAAAGAAAATTAGATTAATAAAAATACTTACACACAACGCGGATCCTGTCCACAAAAATAAGGTATAATTCCATAATAATGCATTCCTTCCTCTCCTTTTTTATACCTGAACAAAATATCATGACAAAATATCATTATTTTAATATAGAACTTCGTTGTCTTCCTAATATTTTCTTCCCTCTATCCCTTTTCTCCCTTCTTCACCCCATAATAATAGATAGAAAAATATACTTTTGCCAAATTCGTAGATCCAAGGGATCTCTCACTAAAGATATAAAGGTAGGTCCTTGTCGTCCAAATTCCGAGAAATTTAGGAACCTTACATCCCCATCGAAAGTTAAGGGAATAGCTTCTTGTCTGATGATACTCGTAATCTCTTCTATCAACAACTCCTGTTAAATCAAAAAGTTTCTTATGATTTGCGATGTAAATTAAGTTACGACCTCTGAAAAACTCTTTTGTGAAATATCATAAATAAAAATTATTTAATTATTTGCAAAAACAATTAATCGAGTCTTGAGTAAAAGTCAGGGAGAATTTTTTCTCGAACCTGCTGTGAACTTGACAAGAGCCCGTTGTCGCCCGGCGGCAGACGTATATGTTTGAAAGCATTGTATCCTTGTAATCGCTGCAGGATCAGCACCATCAACTCGCCACCCGCACCGGGTATGCGTGTCAACATGAGAACGTGCTTGTGTTTGTATGGCAACTCTCCCAATTCGGCGAGGGACGGAGTAATGTATCGGTGCGTCTGGTTGATAGTTATAACAATCGTAAATAATGACGTTTCGTGATAAATGGAAACACCCCAAATAGCAGTGCTTACAAAGCGCTACTGTAGTACTTGGGACTAACATCTTACATTTTTAATCCAAGAATACAATTACCTGACTTCTTCGCATAAACTCACCTGGGGTATTTTTTATACCTCAATTAAAAGTATAATTATTAATTACATATATTATTGATTGTTTTATTATAGTTTATGGTATTTAAAATCATTATGTAAATTTGTTCAATATTTTCTTTAAAAAGAGTAGAAGAAAGAAATTAAATAAGATGTGGATTTTTTTTTGCAGTAAAGAAAATTCTGTGAACTTCATTTTTTCGCTGCTGGGATGTAAAAACTCACTCCAGAAAACTATTTCCGGATCAAAACCATTTTTTTATGAAAAAAACAGAGGTGCGGAATTAATTGCACGTAAATCGCTAAATATGTCCAGTATGATTATTATACAATTTTGTAATAGCATGAAACACGCGCGACGGCGTGCTTTTGCTCCATCGTGCACATCTCATGCTCGAGGAATGCATTCTCCATTGCGCAAGCACAGGCAGTCTTCTCGGTGCATTACTTTGAAACTGCATTTGCCGCTCACTAATTAAATACAGAATTAAACGATGATACGTTCCGCAGTACGTGCTTCAATTTGATATACACACTTGGAGAATATATACAATTAAACTCAAGATTCAAGCGAGAGATATTCTGAGAAACGCAAAGTTTTCCGGTCGACGCTAGATTGATATACCTATTTAATTATAATTGACACGGAGTTTTATTTAGGTATAATAAGCATGATACATGTATTAGTCTTCACCTGACTACGAGTAATCCATTGATCATCGGCACGTGACACTTCCTGTTTCCTCAACACGCTGCGTTTCTCAGTGGTAATCGCGGACCCGAGTAATTTTGTGGATGACCGCGTATTCAGAACGACAAAGACTATCGTCAGACACGTCGAAAGTGATAACAGGAGACCGCGATTTCGACGCATCTTTTTTTATTATCAAATTGTCAAATATGTGTATAATACTGATGTAATTACGTTCTTTTACCGAGAGATACTCTATGGATTATCGAGGCCGTCACCGAGTAACTGAGGAGAATGTTAGTGGGTCAGGCACCGTAAACTGCGTGATCCCTACATCTTCGCCACAGCCTACGACCCCCACCGATTGGTTGATCGGGTGAAACGCAACATTTCACTTTCCAATGCATACTGCAACGGGCGGTCGCGTTTGCATATCATTCTGTATGACTAATCTCTAAGAGCAACTTCAACTGAACCTGGAACTTATAGCGAGTTCAGCTGGACACAATAATGGACGCTGTGGATATTAAAGTCGTTGTGAAACTGATTTAATTTAAATATAAAGATATTTTGAATTATAAAATACATATTTTACCTAATGGTACAATCAAGTATATTAATGATTTCGCCATTTAATTCGTTTCTATGTTATATTAAACACGCATTTTTACATTAATCCGTGTACGACGGTTTTAATGTACGCCAGTGCGCACGTGTGTAATTAAATTTAATATTAATCAGCGATTAATTTAATCGGCAAAATTGTTTACAACAAAATTTCGAATTATATTATATTATATTACTTTACATTATTTCTTTCCATGTATTAAACGACAAAGACTTAATTATTTATATTGATGAAATAGCACAAGTAGTATTGATTGATAAATTTTAATTACTAATTAAATTAATCGGAATTTAATCGAAGTTGTCCTAAGGGTGATCGTAATAATCGATCATTAATTTTATTACTCTTTAAAACTTTTAAAGTAAATCTTATTCTAAAGAATAAAATTCATTTTAAAAGTTGAAAAATTCACTTAAAAATTTAAAAATTAAGCCTTTTTTTCAAAACTAGCTTATTTTCATTCTTTAAAGTGAAATTTTACTTTAAAGAGAATAAACAGCAGATGCCTATAGGATAGTTAATTATTTTTAGTTAATTATTTTTCTTTATTAATATTAAAAGAAAGGTTTAATTAGGGATTTAGATAAATTACAATTGAATATTTTGTATTTTAAATAATTGAACTATTTTATCGATTAATTGATCATCGAAGAATCTGATAAACAATCTTGTAAATAAAACATTAACAAATAAGTATATTGGCAGATTTATCACAGCAGATATTAGCATCAATGTTTTACCAGCAATTAAGTCAACGTGATCCGGTCGAGAGAAGAAATTATCAAACAGAATCTGTCAGAATTTTGAAAGGATTTAAACGAAAGATACCATTTATGATTACGAAATGATGAATTCGGGTTCAATTTCTGTCAATCTGTCAATCATATTCCGTTAACAGATCTCATTATATTTCCGCATTTTGCATTGTGCCGAAATTTGTCAATAGCAGACACCTTGCAAAATCTGTTTTCGACAGATTTGTCTATCTGGGAAAGAATTTCTCGCCGATAGAGCGATAGAACATAAACGCACGTTTGAATTAAACTTTAAAGTGATCGAACGGGCGCATCGGGCAAGCCGGTGCAGAAACCGGCCGGTGCGGTGGCGCCGCGATCCACGTGTTGTGCGCTCTTCGCAATCTTTACCGTCTCTACCGACGGGTCTATTTGTAAACACACGCGACATAAGATGGACGTATACGAGCATCGCAGAAAAGATTGGGAGGATTTCAATGTGTCGCGAGAGGAATTGAAAAACATAACCGACTGTCTGAAGAAGGAAGAGTTTCGCAAACTGTTAATCGAGTACGCGGAGGACGTGGCCGACCCGGATAATAGGAAACTCTACGAGAAAGAGATCACCCAGCTCGAGAAGGAGCGGGGCGTAGACGTGACGTTCGTTAACCCCGAGCCCGGTTACGTCATTAAGACCAGCGTGAACGGCGACAGGAAGTGCTTTTTGAACATCAGTAAGAACGACGTTGTCGCGCGTCCCACCAGTCAGCCTTCCTAC